CCTCTCAATTTCTAGTTTCTCACGGATGCCTCTATGTCCCCCGACTCCCTCTCAATTTCTAGTTTCTCACGGATGCCTCTATGTCCCCCGACTCCCTCTCAATTTCTAGTTTCTCACGGATGCCTCTATGTCCCCCGACTCCCTCTCAATTTCTAGTTTCTCACGGATGCCTCTATGTCCCCCGACTCCCTCTCAATTTCTAGTTTCTCACGGATGCCTCTATGTCCCCCGACTCCCTCTCAATTTCTAGTTTCTCACGGATGCCTCTATGTCCCCCGACTCCCTCTCAATTTCTAGTTTCTCACGGATGCCTCTATGTCCCCCGACTCCCTCTCAATTTCTAGTTTCTCACGGATGCCTCTATGTCCCCCGACTCCCTCTCAATTTCTAGTTTCTCACGGATGCCTCTATGTCCCCCGACTCCCTCTCAATTTCTAGTTTCTCACGGATGCCTCTATGTCCCCCGACTCCCTCTCAATTTCTAGTTTCTCACGGATGCCTCTATGTCCCCCGACTCCCTCTCAATTTCTAGTTTCTCACGGATGCCTCTATGTCCCCCGACTCCCTCTCAATTTCTAGTTTCTCACGGATGCCTCTATGTCCCCCGACTCCCTCTCAATTTCTAGTTTCTCACGGATGCCTCTATGTCCCCCGACTCCCTCTCAATTTCTAGTTTCTCACGGATGCCTCTATGTCCCCCGACTCCCTCTCAATTTCTAGTTTCTCACGGATGCCTCTATGTCCCCCGACTCCCTCTCAATTTCTAGTTTCTCACGGATGCCTCTATGTCCCCCGACTCCCTCTCAATTTCTAGTTTCTCACGGATGCCTCTATGTCCCCCGACTCCCTCTCAATTTCTAGTTTCTCACGGACTCCTCTATGTCCCCCCACTCCCTCTCAATTTCTAGTGTCTCAGGGACTCCTCTATGTCCCCCCACTCCCTCTCAATTTCTTAGCTGCTTCTTTGTTCATTATTGCTACATATAGTCAAAATTTAAAAATATACATATATCTATGTAATGCACTGAGTCCACTTAGTGGTGTTCATGTCTACCTGTGTTTAAGACTGTCCACTTGGGATTAGATAACCCTTCGGGGAGCTAGTTCCTGGAGAAAACGGATTCTCCCTCCCTCAGCATCCATTGATTGCCTGCAAGCTCTTCATCTTGAGGTGGAATGTCATGACAGTCCCCACCTACCTTGGTACGTCACCTGGTTTTGTCACTATGCAGATCTCATTAGATTACCATGCTGTGGAGATTTAATAGGTGTATCTTCTTATCATGTCCAGGATACATTAACTAGCAGCAGGTCTCTTGTCCCTCTGGCTCTTACATTCTTTCCACCCCGCTTCCCTGATACTCCCTGAGCCTTGGTGTGGAGGACGCACTGCTGATGTGTCACTTAGTGCTGGGAACTTCCACAGTCACTTACTCTCTGCATTTGACCAGTTGTGGAACTCTGTAATAGTCTCCATCTGTTGCAAAAAGAAGCTTCTTTGATAAATGGTGAAAGGTGCACTTGTCTGTAAACATAAGGATATGTATTTAGAATACAGGGAGAGATTACTTAGGGAAGTGAGAGAAGTAGGTTCTTCTTGACGGTCTATGAATTCCCAGCCGTGTGTACTTGGCTGTGTTTACAGTAACACACATGATTTCCCTCCCATTGAGTAGGACTTGAGTTGTATTAGAAAGCTATTGATTATCTCCACTATACTTCACCAATAGAGATAGTTTGCAGGGCTAGTCGTTGTTGTGGTTCCTAGACTTACAGCTGAATGGGATCATTGATTTTTTTTCTCTTGGTAGTTTACATCATATCTTTGACACTAAGAGAGCTAGTCTTCAGGAAGGAGACTTTTGTTGATGCATCTTAAAGACCACATAAAAACACTGTACTTGGGCTAATTTTGTTATTCATTGGGTTTGGTTTTGCCTATTAGTTGTGATTATCAGCACCTAAGCCATATTTGCAGATTCAGATGCCAATATGGCAGTGTTTTTCAAAACTTTTAAAAATTTTTTATTTTTATTTTATGTATATGCATGTATTGTCTACATGTAGGGTAAGTGCGCCTGTATCATGCAATGCCCGTGGAGGTCAGAAGAGGCTGTCAGATCCCCTGGGACTGGAGTTACGAACATATGGGTTAGCTCTATGTGGGTGCTGGGATTCAAGCCTGGGTCTTCTGCAAGAACAACCAGTGTTCTTAACCGCTGAGCCATCTCTCCAGCCCTTTCTTTTTTAAAAAATAAAAAACACACTTTTTTTTAGACAGTATTTTTCAAATATGAATATGCATCAAAATCACCTGCTAACCCCACCACAGGTCCTGACTCAGTAAGTCTAGGGTTGTGCCTGAGGTTTGCAATTCTAACAAATTCCTAATGCTAAAGATGTGGCAATTCCAGGGATGAATGCCTTCAGAGCCATTGCTAGAGGGGTCTTGACCTCAGTAAGTGTGCTTCTGCTGCCCTTCCACAGCAAAGGCCATCTCAAGTGTGAGGAGCACTTGATACATGCCTTGTGTCAACTGAGATGTGCTAGAAGCACCGACTAGTCACTAATGTTTGAAGAAATGATGCGATGAAATATAAAATATCTCAGTGCTTTTTTATTGATTAAATGTTGAATGGTTTACATGTATTAGTTAATAAAATATGTTATCAAAATAATTCACCTGTTTTTTTGGATGGCCCTTTTGATTTTTTTTAATCAATTATTTAATTAGTTTGTATTTTGTATGTACTATGTGCATGCAATATCTGCACAGGCCAGAAGAGGGGGTCAGATCCCATAGAACTAGAGTTACAGACCGTTGTTAAACTCTATGGGAGTGCTGGGAATCAAACCCAGACCTCTGCAAGAGCAGCCAGTGCTCTTAACTGCAGAGCCATCTCTCCAGCCCCTTGATTTTCCTTTTATTTGATTTTTAATGTGGCTGCTGTAAAAGCTGTAGCAACACATGTGGCTCACCCTGTGTTGCTTTTGGAGAGCACTGACATAAAAAGATTTTTTTAAAAAATCAAAACACAGAGACTAGCAAACGACAAAAGATTCAAACCCTCAAACTCACTTTGAGATGGGACTGGGCACGGGTGGGGGAGGGGCACAAAGAAAATACATCTGTCGACCAGATTTGGCCTAAGGATCCTAGTTTGTACCCAAACACTGTCACAAGTTTTAAATGCACAAGTTATACACTAGCTACCATTTCACCTGTCTTTCAGCATTAATCAAAAACCTTGTTAAAATTCTTAAAGTGTGGCCAGTGAGATAGCTCAGGCAGTACCAAGACTGACAACTGGAGTTCAATCCCGGGGACACACACGCTTAAAGGAGAGAACCAGTTCCCGAAAGTTGTCCTCTGACCTCCATGTGTGTGCTGTGCAAGCATGCCCCACAGACGCACAATAAATAATAAATAAATATAAACAAATAAATAAATGTAATAAAATTTTAAAACATTCTTAAAATAGAAGCATTACATTATAATAATGAAACTGTTTCTGCTGAATTTGAGAATTAAAATTTTCCATAAATCTTTGAAGCTCTGTGTTGTCTTTCCGTAAATATATTTGGCTTGCACTTGACTAACCTTATGAAAGGTCATGTTTTCCAAGTGTTTTTATGTCTCCCAACGATCTCACTTTTTTACCTACACAAAAGCATGAGATGCAGGTGTTGATGTTCCCATTCTAAATACTTTGCAAGGTTTAATGAGTAACAAACTAGGATATTAAATTACCGCTTTAGTGGACTCCAGTCCACTGTTTCTCTCATCAGACTTTTCTTGTGTCCTACAATTTTTGAAGCATTTTAAATTTTTTCTTAAAAAAGCCTAAAGAAGAAGCATGATGCATGTAGGGATATAGCTTCAAAAACTGTAGGATAAAATCAGATCAGCATAACCCTCATAACACCCATTTTCTTAGGACCAAAGTCCCTTAAGTTTTTTAAATGTTGCCTAGTACAGTAAATATTTCAAAAGTAAATGATATATTGTTGTGAGATCCTTTGCTAATACTCATCACTCACCTCTGTGTGTCTCATCTGTGCAGCTGAAACACACTAATTAACTGCTAAACTCTAAGAAGTTGTATTTCGACACAAAGAATCTGCAGCTCTCATTTTTGTATGAGTAATTTGAACAATAGCACATTGTGTCTCGCTTTGATAGGATAATGTAACCTTGACCCTGACTTCAGGACATGCTTCTAATTTTGTTCACCCACCGTAACCATTCTTGCCATTCCAAACCCTGCAGAAACAGCTAGCTGGAGTAGAGACTCCAGAGAGCCTTGAGCTTTACCTGTAAATGGAATGGCGTAAGCTGGTCCAGACAGGCCCAAACTTGTCTTCTTTACTTTGTCATTCTGAGACCATAACCAGGATATGCAGAAAGCATTTCTTTGAGTGCTAATTTTTCCAAAGAAAGGAAGAAACTTTTACTATAATTCTTATATAGAGAATCTCATTATTCATCTTGTGTGAAAGTTAAGTCTTCTCATTTTTTTTTAATTAAAAAAAAAAAACAGTATAGGACTGTATTTGTGTGGGCTAGCTAGCATAGCTATATAGATAAATATACTAGTTTGGTGGTATATGGTATGTCATTTCTGTCTGCCAAGTTGCCGTCTTCTTCAAAGGATGCACACTGCTCAGGAGACTGACAGTTCGGTGGTTCAGGAGATTTTCTTCGAATGTGAAGAACTCCTTTGACGGTCCAGAAGACCGAGGAAGCTAAGTGACTGCGTCACGTGTACCCAGCTAGAGAGTGGAAAGCCAAAACCAGAACCCAGTGTCCTTTCACACTGTCCAGTCCGTGATTCAAAGAATATCCCCACTCTGAGCAGTTTGGAGAAACATGCCGTGTCTTGGATAGGTGCTCCTTTTAGCTCTAAGTTTCATTCCCATGTGGTTTGTGATTTAAAACTTCCATCTGGCTCATTGAATGCGGCAGCAGCTTTTGGGGTCTTCTGCGGTCAACAGTCCAGCAGAGCGGGGCCTACACGCGAGCAACCATGTCTAAGGGACCGGCAGTCGGCGTTGATCTTGGCACCACCTACTCGTGCGTGGGTGTCTTCCAGCATGGAAAACTGGAAATCATTGCCAATGAGCAGGGGAACGGCACCGCGCAGAGTTATGGGGCTTTTACTGATACGGAACGATTGATCAGCGATGCTGCAAAGAATCAGGTTGTCATGAACCCCACGAACACGGTGTTTGATGCCAAACATCTAATCGGGGCACAGGTTTGACAAAGCTGTTGTGCAGTCTGACTTAAAGCACTGGGCGATGCTGCAAAGAATCAGGTTGTCATGAACCCCACGAACACGGTGTTTGACGCCAAACCTCTAATGGGGCACAGGTTTGACAAAGCTGTTGTGCAGTCTGACTAGAAGCACCCTTCATGGTGGTGAATGATGCAGGCAGGCCCACGGTCCAGGTGGGATTCAAGGGAGAGACCAGAACTTTCTACCCTGAAGAGGTTTCTGCTATGGTTCTGACAAAGAGGAAGGAAATTGCAGACGCCTACCTTGGCAAGATTGTTACCAACGCCGTGGTCACAGTGCCAGCTTACTTCAGTGACTCACAGCGGCAGGCAACCGAAGATGCTGGAACCATGGCTGGCCTCAATGTACTTAGAATTATCGACAAACAAACTGCTGCAGCTATTGCCTATGGCTTAGACAAGAAAGTTAGGGCAGAGAGAAATGTGCTGATTTTTGATTTGGGAGGTAGCACTTTCGACGTGGCAATCCTAACCATTGAGGATGGAATCTCTGAGGTCAAATCTACAGCTGGAGACACCCACTTGGGTGGAGAAGACTTTGACAACCGGATGGTCAACCACTTCGTTGCTGAGTTTAAGTGCAAACACAAGAACGACATCAGTGGGAACAAGAGAGCTGTCTGCCATCTCCACACAGCTTGTGAGCCGGCTAAGAACACCCTCTCCTCCAGCACCCAGGCCAGTAGTGACATTGGTTCTCTCTACAACAGAATCGACTTCTACACCTCCATTACCCGGGCTCGATTTGAAGAGTCAAATGCTGACTTGTTCCTTGGTACTCTGGACCCTGTAGAAAAAGCCCTTCGAGATGCCAAACTAGACAAGTCACAGATCCATGATATTGTTCTGGTGGGTGGTTCCACATGTATCCCCCAAGATTCAGAAGCTTCTGCAAGACTTCTTCAATGGAAAAGACCCGAGTGAGAGCATTAACCCCAGTGAAGCCGGGGCTTGTGGCGCAGCTGTCGGGGCTGCCATTCTATATGG